GCAGCTTACAAACTCCTTTCCCTTCCCCTCCCTACAACAGACACCCTGTGAGGTCGGTGGGGCTGAGAGAGCTCTTGGCAGAAACTGCTCTTTTTCAAGGACTTGTCAGAACTATGGCTTACCCAAGGCCATCCAGCCAGATGCAAGTGGAGGAGTGGGGAATCAAACCCGGTTTTCCCAGATTAGAGTCTGCGCACTTAACCATGACACCAAACTGGCTCTCAAATAAAATGGAGAAGAATGTTGAAAGACACTTTGAGTCCCCATTGGAGAGAAAAGTGGTGTGAATGAAGAAAGCAAGTAAAGCAATAAATGTAAAGCTGGATTAATCCATTTTGTTATTTCATAGAATTCTACAATCATAGAATTGCAGAGCTGGAAGGGGCCACGCAGGCCATCTAGTCCAGCCCCCTGCTCAATGCAGGACCAGCCTAGAGCATCCCTGACAAGTGTCTGTCCAGCCGCTGCTTAGAGACTGCCAGTCTTTAAAACTATTGGGGGTGGGAGATGAAGAATCTCATGAGTCAGTCCCTTTCAAAATGCTAATACATCATTTGCTATTTACTTGGTCATTTGCTTCATGTATGCTCTGCCTTTCTCCTCAGTGCGGACCCAAAGTGGGGGATCTCATTATCCTCTCCTCCATTGTGTCTTCCCAATTACCCTATGAGATCAGTTAGGCTTAAAGTGTGTGACTGAGCCAAAGTCCAGTCACCCAGCAAGCTTCCTGGGTTTCCCAGATCCTACCCTGACACTCTTAACCACTACACCACACTGGCTCTCTCAGTGTAAGAACATAAATAGTACTGATTCAGGCCATTGCTCCAGTAAGGTCTTTGCTCTCAGAGGCAATACATCTCCAAGACCTTCAGACAGAGTTCCATCACAGTACTACAACCAGATAACTTTCCATGGGAGATACCGTAGAGAAGCAAGGCAAGTTCTGTACCACTGAGTGACCCAGCCCAGCTCACTGAGGGGAAGATATGTGCAACCTTTCTGTAATGTATCCCTCTCCGACCAGGTGCGAGATGAGCTCTCCACGCGGTCATGCGAAGCACCCGAGCTTCGCTCTCAGAGACAATGGCCCAAGCGGATTCTAGCCACGCCTATCAGAGAGCTAGGCTCCCAGCCGAGAGCCCATAGAACTCTCAGCCACTGTAAATAGCCAATCACTAGTATGGGCAGTGTTCCCTCTAAACTGAGTTAGTGTTTAGCTAGCTCACAGTTTTTTAGCCTCCGGCTCACAGATTTTTGTCTTAGCTCAGGAAGGAGGGCTCCAGAGCAAACTAATCCATGCAGCAGCCAAATCCCTCGCTCATCCCTTTAATGCCAGGAGCTCACAAAGTAGAATTTTTGCCCACAGGACTCCAAAACTTAGAGGGAGCCTTGAGTGTGGGGTGTGTGTTTTGGGTGTGGGATTGTTGCACATATAAACCGGCCTGCGAGCCGGATATTTTGTCTTGTTCTGAACTGGAAATAAAGTATCTGAGCTGAAATCACTAGTAATTCTCAGTAATTTTCACTTTCATACAAAGATTTTTGGGAAATGCTGCCCATGGCAGGATCTCAGTACCTTAGCTCCTTGTGGTTTCTTCCTCCAGTGTGAGAGCAGACAGCATTTAGAATTCTCCAGCTGCAAAATGGAAAGACGTATTTGAAGATACTCCACGTGGATCCAAAATACAGGCTCATAGGCATTACTGGTAGGAACTACGCTGCTTCATTTGCTACCGATGCAGATCAAGAGTCTCAAGCTGCGATCACATACACTCAACAATCCACTCCAGATCCACTTTCAATGTGCTTTCCAACTGGATTTTGCCCGTTCACACAGTAAAATCCACTCGTAAGTGCTTTGAAAGTGGATTGAAAGTGGATTATTTAGTGCATGTGATCGCAGCCTCAATAAGAAAGAGGACAGATATTACTCCAGGTGGCCATCTTTCCTGAGGAGGTTCTGACCTCTATGACTGAAAGACGAGCTTCTTTATGTCGTCAGGCAAATGGCTCGTCTAGCCCCGTGCTCTGCCTCAACTGGTAACAGAATCCCTATCTTGAAGCAGGATAGCCTTTCTTCAGAAAAATGGGATGCCAGCAGCCCTTTACAGGCATGCCCTAAATTCCCGTTCCTAAGCTACTTGAAGAAGTTCTCCTCCAACCAATGTTTAAAGCCCTCTAAGAACAGATCCAACACACTGTGGCCACACAGATCCAACTTCCTAAGCATCAGGAAACAGACAGTGTGGTGGTGTGTATTTTCAGCTTTGAGGGTTTTTTGGTCCTTCAGGAAAATAAAGACTGTGTACCTTCCCTATGACAACTGCTTCAATCCCTTTGGAATGTTCTTGGTCATTAAGTGTTTGTTGTCTCAGCCTCTTTGGTCTTCTGGGGCCTCTGATGCAATAGAACAGGGGGAAAGGTTCTTTAAACATTTTGAACAAAGAAATCACCTAACATCCCATAAATCAGGTTGCCAATGCCCGGTTGAGAGATCTGGGTTAGAATTTGGGGAGATTGAGGATTGAGGAGAAGAGGGAGCTCAATGGGTATAATGTTAGAAAGCTCACCAGTAGGGTTGTGCATTCAGTTCACACGAACCCCAAAAAACCCCAAATAATGCCTATTCTCTAATCTCTAATCTGATTCTCTAATCTGATTCGGCAGGCAAAACAGGGATTCCCCGAATGGATGCCGTATATTCGGCATCCATTTGGGAAATCCCTTTGCTGGGTGAGGAGAAGGCAGAGAGAGGCAATTAAATGCCTCCCTGCTCCTTCCAGGGCCTCCCATGGCTTGCCCACCTTGGCGGGCAGGCCTTCCCTGACTTATCCGCTTTGGCGGGCAGGCCGAGGAAGGCACGGAGAGGCATTTACATGCCTCCTGCCCCCGCACCCTCTCGGACCTTCCCTGGGTCTCCCGCCTTGGCGGAAAGGCCAGGGAAGGTGGGGGGGCTCATTCCAGGCCTTCCCTGGCTCGCTTCAGCAGATGGGCCAGGGAAGGTGGGGGTGCTAGCTTGGGGGGCAGCAGGCTCCCTTCACTGAATGAAGGGAGTGTGCCGCTTCTGCAGCGTGACTGAGGGGGGTTAAACTTTAAAACTCGAGTCACACCACAGAGGCACCACGCTCCCTTCATTGAAGGGAAGGTGATTTGCCTTCCCTTCAGTGATAGGAAACCCCTCCTTCAAGGGGAGGATTATTATACCCTATGGGGACAGTCCCCATAGGGTATAATTCAGCTGAATGTGATTCGGCTGGCCGAATGCCACACCAATCGGCTTGCATTCCCAAAAGTGGCATTCGGGGGTCAATCGGCAGGCTGGATAACATTCGGCCTGATTTGGCTGAATCCGAATGGGCCGAACTTTTTTCCACATCCTTACCCCCACACCTACCAAAGCAACCATTTTCTCCAGGAGAACTGATCTCCGTCACCTGGAGATGAGTTGGAATCTCTGACCGGGGCCTGGAGATGGACCCAGGGAAAGTTTGTTACATGTTGGGGTGGGGGGTACCCCGAACCAGATGACAGCTCCAATCCTTCCTCAGTTTTGCGAATTTTTAGAGAACATTTTTACCCTCCCAGGTCAGCTTACCCCTCACAGATCTGCTAAAAACTAAGGGGAGGGGCCCAGAGGCTACTAAACTGAGTGCCACGCTGCCATGGAGTAACGAGTGTCAGGAGGCGTTCGATCACGTCAAAGCCTTGTTCACCTCAGAACTGGTTCTTGCCCACCCCGATGAGACGAAAAAAATTGTTGTGCAAACTGATGCATCTGATGTTGCCATGGGGGGGCAATTTTACAAGAAGGGGGGGTGGATTGCTACATCCATTAGTTTATGTGTCAAGGAAGCTCAATGACACGGAACGTAACTGGTCAGTATGGGGGAAGGAGGCAGGGGCAATAAAGCTCGCCCTATCCACGTGGAGGCATTGGTTGGAAGGGGCGAGGGTCCCGTTCGAGGTGTGGATTGATCATAAGAACTTAGAAATTCTTAAAACACCTCGATGCCTCAATGCTAAACAGCTCCGGTGGGCTGATTTCTTTTCCAAGTTTCAATTAACCTTGCACCATTTCCCGGGTTCTGCGAACTCTTTGGCTGACACCCTTTCCCGCCTACCCCAACATGACAGCCAACGAGAGGTGGTTTTGGACTCAGTGTTCACACCCTCACAGCTGGATGGGGCGGTGACAACTCACAGCCAAGCCCGCCTAACTCCCCCCCCCGCAGACACTTGGCACAGTAAATTCACCTCCGCCCTGTCAGAGGAGGATAAAGAAGTTCTGGAAGTGGAGGGAGATTTTGAACTACGAGACAATGGCTGTTGGTACCGGGGACATAAGCTGTTCATTCCCCTCTCACTATACATTGCTGTCTCTCTTGCACTGCCTCATAGGAGTTGTAGTTATTTGTCTGGAGAAGACTATAGTTTTGTACACAAGCACATAGTCCTTGGTCTGTGTCATGGTGCCTTCACATGTTCTTACATGTACAAAAGTGTGCAATGTCCAGCCATTTCATATTTTCCCCTAGGTCTTAAGCTCAGAGTATTGACCATGGGATTTCTGTAATTAATGTCAATAAGTCAAAAGTAGGTTTGCAACTTACAGGCAAATGCCTGAAAAACACCTGAACAGCATACTCAAGATTGCTACAGCAGAGACATTGCATTCAGATTTTGATGCAATAATTTAGAGTAAGAGGTGTCAGTTATCAGAGCTGATAAATAAACAAAATATTGCAAGAGTGCTGATGTTTTAAGCATGTTTTATTTTAAGTTTCTATGTCCTTCAGAAAGTTTATATCACCGCTACCTGGCATTAAATTTTATGACACACGTGGCGTGGCCAGACAAGGTCTCATTTATGTTAGATCCAATTCTCATAACAAATTAGTTTGATGCCCCTTTCCTAGTGGCTACTAAGAAAATATCTAGGCTGAACAGGTACTGAATCTTCATTGAAAACCCACAGCACTGAAGATCTTTATGCACAGTATTCATAATTCCAACTGATGACCCTTTGGGCCAATACTAGCTTTCAACGTTTTGAGGCAAAGCCCAATCTTTCGCAGCACCTTGGCCATTGCTGCAAAGACATCTTTGTTTCGTAGAGTGTAAATGATGGGGTTCAAGAGAGGAGTGACCACAACATACAACACTGCAATTTGTTTGTCACTATCAGGGGATCTTCCTGATGGGGGTAGAATATAGTTAAGGGTGGTTGTGCCATAGAACAGGATGACTACTGATAAATGGGACCCACATGTCGAGAAGGCCTTGCGCAGTCCACTGGCTGAGTGCATTTGGAACACCGAGAACAAAATGAGCCCATAGGATATCATGATGACTGAAAAGGTAACCAGGATGATCATCCCCGAAATCAGAAAAATGATGGCTTTTGTGGTGTGGATGTCGTCGCATGCTAGTTTCAGCACCATCGGTATCTCACAGATAAAGTGGTTGATGCAGCAGGGATCGCAGTAAGGGTGGCTGAAGGTTAAGCTGATACATACTACTGAGACACAAAAGCCACCTCCCCAACAGGCTGAAGCCAGTTGTACCTGGTGCCACCTTCCCATGGATGCGGCATAGGTCAGAGGATGGCAGATGGCCAAATAACGATCGTAGGCCATGACACCCAGCAGAAGGGCTTCAGCAGAACCCAGAGCCAGAGCTGTGTACATCTGTAATGCACACTGGATTAAGGACAATCTTCCACGACCCATTAGAAGGTGAGCCAGCATCTGGGGAATGGTACTAGTGGCATAACAAATATCCAGGCTCGAGAGGTGAGTGAGGAAGAAATACATGGGTGTGTGGAGGTGGGAGTCCACCTGTGCCAGCATGATGACCCACAGGTTCCCCACAAGGATAAATGTGTAGAGGATGAGGATTATCCCAAACAGCAGAATCTGTGTCTTACGGTCATTGGTGAGTCCCACCAAGATGAAATCGGCAGTAGCAGTGAGATTGTCCGACCCCATTCAGACCTTCTCCTGCAGAGAGAGAGAAATGTTGAAACGCTGTCACTTTTAACATGTAATGCATTTCTTATGGATTTCACCATCTCCTATTTTGAAATTAATGAACAGTAGTCTTATAACAGATAAAAGGAAGTACTTCTTCAAGCAAAGAGTGATTAACTCATGGAATTCACTACCACAATAACTGGTGGTGGGTACAAGCAAACACAGCTTCAAGAGTGGATCAGATAAACATGGAGCAGAGGACCATTAGTGGTTATTAGCTGCAAGGTATGGATGGAACATAATGTCTGGGGCAGTGATGCTCTGTGTTCTTAGGAATTGGGGGGGCAGCAATGGGAAGGCTTCTGAAGTTGTGGCCCTGCTGATTGACCTCCTGATAGCACCTGATTTTTGGCCACTGCGTGACACAGCATGTTGGACTGGATGAGCCCTTGGCCTAATCCAGCAGGACTTCTCTTATGTTCTTATGATAAGCAACAAACAGAAAGGAGTTCCTCCTGCCATGAGCCTCTTTCCAATACCAGTGTGAGGGTCACTCAGCTTTCTAAACTGACACCCAGAAAACCTATACAGAAATTCACTCAGCTATCAGTGACTTTAGGCAAATATATGAAACTGCCTCCAGTATGGAAACAGCAAACACCTAGAATTTCCGATGTAATAAACAGGACAATGTGCTTATTTCAGTATTTTTACCCTGCATTTCTCCTGCTCTGGGGACTCAAAGCAGCTGATAACAATGAAGCACCCAAAACAAAGTACTATTTAAATGAAGGCATAAAATTCCAAAGGCCCCCATGCAACCATAAAGCTGGGCGTAAGCCATAAGGCCATTTCTAGTTGATGCTCTTGGTGAAAGAGCCAAGATCAGGGATGGAAGGAGATGAGGGTGAGGTGAGGTGAACAAGGGGTGCTGGAGTCTCCCTGTGAGTTTGGCATCTCTAGCCCAGGTGGGCCGGGATGTTCTACCACATCACAAACCTCACAAAATGAACCTGTTTGGCAAACGTGAAAATTCAAGGTTCATGCTTTATGGGGTCTCACAAACGATGAACCAGGATGAACCTCCATTTCCCTGGTTTGTGCCCATCCCTAATCTAGAATTCTCTAGATGTAAAATGACAGCAATTCAACTGAAATAAATCAAAACTTTTGTACTCATAGCTGCACACAGAAAAATATATGACTCTTACACAGAAGGAATAGGCTGCTTTCTGCCCACTGGAGATCAGACTCTTGATGCGAGAAAGGACAGAAATTATTCCTAGTGGCCAAGGAGGTCCTGGTCTGTATGGCTGGGAGAGGGCATGCCTTTTAGATGAGTCAGACCCATAGACCCTCTTGTTCAGCACTTCCTACCTTGACTGGCTGCAGATTTCCAGTGCTTCAACTAGATGTCCTTCTCTGTCCTGGAAATGTTCAGGATAGTGGAGATGCCTGCAAATCATGTGCTCTGAAATCCAGGATCTTGGCCATCTGGAGAGGTTCTCCTCCAGCCAATATTTGAAGACTCCTAAGATGAGGGTCAACAATCCCTGGATTGTTCAACTTTGCGATCAGTCTCAAGCAATAAGAAACAGACAGCGTGGTGGATAGCTTTTTTTCAGTGATGTGATTACAAACTTCTAAAAATGTGAGAAGATGATACAGCCTATGAGTGTTCTCCATCAGGATTGCTTCGGTCCCTTTGGTGTGTTTTTTCCTCCCACGATCATTACCTTTTTATTCTTCCCTTATGACCTCTAATTCATGATAACCCCTACTGGGATGAAGTGTTGTTGTTCTTTAAATTGCTGCTCAATTTCCCCCCATTACCCCAGACTCATTACTGTGAGCAACACTTACAAAATGGGGGGGGTGGGTTTCTTAGAACGTTTCCAGAAACAAGGGCCAAAAATCACACTGGTCAGGTTTTCGGGTTACAGAGGTTCCTTTCTGGGGTCATTAAATGTTTAGCATTTGATCTGCAGCTCAGGCTACAATGGTAACAGAACTTGGCTTGACAATCTAGTTATTAAATAATAAAAATTATGCATGGGATTGAGAAAATGGATAGAGCGAACTTTTCTCCTTCTCCCAGAGTGCCAGGGGGTAACTAATAAAGTTGCCCAGCTGTAGATTCAAGGTGGACACAATGAAGTACTCTATTACTTAATGGGACTACAGCTAGGTATAATGCCATACAGTTGTTCCTCCAAAGCAGCAATTTTCTCCAAGGGAACTGGTTTTTTTGGTCATCTGGGGATAGTAATTCTGGGAGATCCCCAGGCCCCACCTGGAGGCTGGCAACCCTAGGTGGTGCATCCTATACTTGTTTGTTAAGGAAGTTTAGGCCATGGACCCAGAAAATGAACTCTATGACATCATCTGCATAGTCAGGTTATTCACCTTTTCAGAAATAGTCTAGCTACTTGTCCATGGTGTTATTTAGGTTGTTAGATAACGGTATCCCAAAGACCAATCAGTCAGTATCTAGGCTGAACAGAGACTGAATCATCATTGTTCTTCAACAGCATTCAAGATCTTTATTCACAGTATCCATACTTTCAACTGGTGACCCTTTGGGCCAATATTAACATTCAAACTTTTGTGGCAAAACCCGATCTTCACAGCATCTTGGCCATCGCACGATGGACATCTTTGTTCCGTAGACTGTAAATGATGGGGTTCAGAAGGGGGGTGACCACAACATACAACACTGCAATTTGCTTGTCGATATCGGGAGATCTTCCTGACTGGGGCATAATATAATTAAGGAAGGTTGTGCCATAGAACAAGGTGACCACCAATAAATGGAACCCACACGTCGAGAAGGCATTCTGCAGTCCATTGGCTGACCGCCTTCACAATACAGAAAACAGAATGAGCCCATAGGGGACCAAGATAACTGAAAAAGGTATCAAGATGACCAACCCTACAAATAGGAAACTGACAACTTTTGTAGTCTGGGTGTCATCGCATTCCAGTTTCATCACCATTGGTATCTCACAGATAAAGGGGTTGGTGCAGCAGGGACCACAGAAGCGGTGGGTGAAGCTGATGCTGACACATACTGCTGCAACATGGAAGCCGCCTACCCAAGAGGCCAAAGCCAGCTGTATCTGATGCCATCTTCTCATAGTAGTGATGTAGGTCAGGGGACGGCAGATGGCTAAATAACAATCATAGGCCATGACACCCAGTAGCAACGTTTCAGCAGAACCCAGAGCCAAAGCAGCATATGTCTGTAACGCACATTGTATTAAGGACAATCCCCCATAGCCCATTAAAAGGTGAGCTAGCATCTGGGGTAGAGTGCTGGTGACATAACAGATCTCCAGGCTTGAGAGGTGAGTGAGAAAAAAATACATGGGTGTGTGGAGGTGGGAGTCCTCCTGTATCAGCTTAATAACTCCTACGTTCCCCAGAAGGGTCAATGTGTAGATAACAAGAATTATCCCAAAGAGCAGAATCCGTGTCTCATGGTCATTGGAGAGTCCCACCAAGATGAATTCGGTGGTACAGGTGAGGTTGTTAGCCCCCATTTAGAGCTTCTCCTGTAGAGAGACAGAAATGTTGAGAAACAGTTACTTTTAGCATGTAACACTTTCCTAATGGATGTCACCTTCTCTGATGGTATCAGTTGTCCCAACAGCTGCATGATTTTTTAATAAATTATCTGAGAAAAACCCAGGTGTTTGTGCTGTTCCTCTTAGAAAACCTCCTTACTATAAACATTTGTTCTGTGTCATTATCCAAGCAAAAGAATGCTCAGCTTCCATAGCCACATGACAGACCACTGAGTGATCCAGCCCACTTTATAGTATTGACGTTTGAAGCCTTGATTGCTATCGGTTAAAGGAAAGGGGGGATCTCTGCTTATTGTTTCCTAAATATAAAAATAATTCATGCCCTTTCTAAAACCTATTGAAAAAGTAAGCACTTGAAAAAGCCTAACGCAATTAGGAGATATCCTGTTCCCTTCTCAGTCACACCTTTGGGTTTCTCCCTGATGATATTTAGTAACCAGAGTGGAGTTTGTCAAGCCAATGACCTCTGTGCAATAGCTGTGTGGGTTTCAGGGACCTTTCAAAGGGGAGCTGCGAAAAACCTGCACAGAAAACTCACTCAACTATCAGTGACGTCAGAGGGACATATGAAGCTGTCTTGGACTGCAGCCATCTTGCTCGATATTTTCAGACCATTGGTTTATCTTTCTCAGCAGTGCATTTCTGCAAGGTCTTGGGCTAAGAAAGAGGGATAAGTTCCTATTTAGAAAATGGCTGCTTTGGGGGTGGGACTGTATGGCATTAAACTCTGTTCAAGTCCATCTCCTCCCCAAATCCCATTCGTCCTAGGTTTTACTCCCAAATCTCCAGGAATTTCCCAATTTGGAATTGGCAACCCTACTGCTCAGCTCCTTGTAGGAAGAGTTGGATATAAATGTAAAAATAATTTTTAAAACTAGTCTGTCTAGCAGTCCAGCGTGTAGTTTTGTTGTTTGCATTGTCCTAGAGCAGGGTTGTCAAACATATGGTCTATGGGCCTAATCCGGCCCCCACAGGACTTGTATCTGACCCTCAAGCAACTGGCTCTCTTCTGCTTCCTTCTCCCTCTCTCTTGCTTCCTTCTCTATCACAGCTTGCTTTGCAAGGCTCTCTCAATCACACAAGAGCTACTGAGCAAAGCCTCTCTTTCCTCCCTTGTCTCAGGCTCTGCCCCCTCCCCCTTCCTTGGGAAGGAAGAAAGGGAGAGGGAGGGAAGGAGTGAGAGCTTGCTTTGCCAGGCTCTCTCAATCGCACAGCAGACCTACTGAGCAGACCTCTCTTCCCTTCATTGGCTTCTCCCCTTCCTCGTCCCCTGAGGAGGGAAGGAAACTGCAAGATTACTTTGTCCAGTTCCCTCTATTGCATGGGAGAGATACAAAGGACATTTAAGACCAACAAATTTTTATTCAAGGTATGAGCTTTTTGATTTGCCAAACACAGAGAGAGAGAGGGTTGGGGGTTTGGGGGCTC